GATGGTGATGGCGGCAACGACGATGACGACAGTAGTGGGGGTGGCGGTGGCGACGACAGTGGTGATAGAGGTAGTGGTGGGACAGTTTCAAACACTATTTTTTTTTAAAGTATTTATGAGAAATAATTCCTAAAAGTATTTTTAAAAAGTCATTCCAAACACACCCTTAAGACCCCATATTTTTCTATTAAATTTAGGATGTTAATATTAGCCATTAGATTAACTTTAAAATAAAATTTAAAGCGATCTCAACCGCGAATAACAAAAGTCATTTTGTTTATCTTTTGACATTTGAATTGTAAGTTACTTTATTATATAGATTAGCTTGACTATTTTATATATAAACGAGTTGAACTCTGTGAGTTTTTTTAAATAAATTTAAAAAATTGTTTAAACTTGACTAATTTAAAAAAAGAATCAAACCTAAGCTGAGTCCAAATAGCTCAAATCGATTATCAATCATATTTTAGTATAGTGACTAGTCAACCAAACTTTTTGACAAGCATTTCTTCCCACAAAATACAAAAAGGTAGTGATCACACCCATGCCTCCCGCGAGGTGGTTAGTGAATATATTCATATGATTATCATCACTTAAGACTGTCAATTATGTAATTGGGTTAGATTAATCATCGATATGATTTCCAGAATCTTCTCCACCAATCGGAACGTGCCACGAGTTTGGCTAAAGTGTATTAAGACAAATCGTTCATTAACATTGGTTCATCACCCCTAACTAATAAGTTCAACCAAAGTAATTAATTGTCATTAATCTAACAAATGGAGGGGTTCCTGTGTCTTTGTCTTATCTAACAAATGGCACAAATTAAGAACACTTGAGCTCTATTTTACTTATGTGTGACTATTATCTAAGGAATTTGGATTGCCAAGGATCTTATCCATAATCTTTATCAATGAAAAATAATGATATTTAGCTATAATTTATTGGCCTAATTGTTATATGATAGGGAAACGTTTGATAATAAGCAACGATAACAGAGAATTAGACTAACGAATCAAATTAAAATAACATTATTTTTTTCAGTTGCAAGTCTTGGTTGTTTATGCTTTAGCAAATGTCATAATCCCAATGTTAGTCCAATGAAAACAAAGACGAGAAGTAAATCAGACATCTTGAGTTAAAAATTGGTCAAATTCATCGGGGTCAAGCAATGAGAGATTGATCCCTCATGAATTTTTAGTCCCGACGGGAGAAAAATATTAGTCTAGATACAGATAAATTGGCCTGAACTCTTATTGCAATATATAAAAAATGTTAACTGCTCCTATGGTAGCTACCCTATGTGCTTATATGCAATAAGCAAATTCTGTTTGTCCGGAATAACTAGTAAGATGGTCTAATTATGAGGTCTGGGTAGCTCCTAATTAGTAAATTCATTTACTTTTTTGTCCTGTTTTTTTTGGATCTAAATCAACCCATGTGAGTATCCTACAGAATAATTTGATGAAATTTCGCTTGAATAACTTACACCACTGATCAACCTCCCTTTGAACGAGCAATTCCTAAAGAAAAATATTATTTTAACCTATTTTGGGGCCTAATTAGATGTGAGTTACACCTAAAATTGAAATTCACGATTAATTTAATAATTATATTGAATTAGGTCCCTATAGCATTGTTGCTAACTAACATATGCCGGTGATTACTGAAAATCAAGCTCAAATTTTATGAAAATAAGTGTCTCAATGCAAAGTGTACGATCAAAGAAGTACTTTCATCAACATTTGGAGTGTTTTTCAATTTTTTCTTGGAAGTTAAGGAGAAGCTCTATTTTTCAGATTTTTCTTTATTTTGATAAAAGTTATTTTTACTCAAAAAAATTGATGAAAAAACCATCCAATAAGTTTAGGTCTAAACTGACCATACTTCTTTTCCTCTTAAATCAAAAAAACCAGGGTCATGTTTGGTTATCATCTCAGAAACAATTTTTTGTTCTCAAAATTTTAAAAACACCCAAAACTTGTTTGTTTTGTATTTTTATTCTCTAAATTTTGGGAAACAATGAGATTTGAGTCAAAAAAACAGAAAATAAGTGTAGATTGTTTTCAGAGTTTTTTTTGAAAATTTTAGAAATAAAGAGAACAATATATATAAATATATATATATACACGTATATATATATATATATATATATATTTATTTATTTATAAATACATATAAATATATATATACATATACATATATATATTTATTTAGTTTTATATATATATATATATATATATATATATATATATATATATATATATATATATATATATATATTAAATTTTGATTTATTGGATTTTTTTTTTATGAATTTGTCAATCTAAAAATAATTTTTTTATATTTTTTTATTAATGTTTGAATTACTGTTCAAATATATATTTAGACTGTCCAAATAAGTTTGACTATTTTCTGTATTATAAAATTATTTTTGAAATCATTTAACCAAACAAGTTTTTTATATCAAAAAATATCAAAACTACTTTCTTAAAACTTTTCTCAAAAACTATTTTCAGATACTATTTTTTAAAACAATAACAAAAAAACCCTACGTTTTCAGCCTACTTGGATTAGGTTCAATAGCCTAATTTACCCATATTACCCCTATCCATCATTTTGTTGGACTTCAATGTCCTCTCTCTCTCACTCTCTCTCTCTCCATCCGTGTATAAATAGGGAACAAACTGCCCCTCTACATCATTGCATAAATAGGGAACAAATTGCCCCTTTTTGCTTCTCTGAGGACCGCCCCCAAACTAACAGTGCCTCTTCTTCACCAACCAATACAAAAGAGTCAAGTATATGTGCCATCAATCTCAATATAAGCTCTCGCTCTCTCTCTCTCTCTCTCTCTCTCTGGGCAACAGAGACGAAAAGTAAAGGTCGATAAAAGAGGTGAAGAAAAGGGTCTCTTTTCTACCTGAGACAGTCTGTCATACCACACACTTCAAAACCCTTGTTCAGTCATGTAAGTGTATTGTCATGTTTTTTGAGCTTTTCTCCGTGAAAATAAATTTAATCCAATAATGGGTACTCTCTCTACCTTTCTCTCTCGATTTCATCCATAATCAGCAATGACGTTGACCACATTCCCAAAAATACACACCCTCTACATTTCAGAATCCCCACTGTCTCTGTATCCGTTTCTTCATTTACACAACATCCTCTGTTTCTGTATCTTCCTCTGTTTTTTCGCGATTTATTGACTCATAGTACAAAATGCAGAGATGGGTCACGAAAAATCATCATTTCTTGGCACAAATTTTTTCGGGAAAGTCTTAGGTAACGGTACCGAAAATTATAATTTTTTGATCATAATTGATATCATAGAAGTTATAATTTTAAAGATAAAGTTATAAGTCGTAAAGAAGAAATTACAATTACCCAAGCAAATCTCTATCATAAACTTTTCTCAATCAGTTGGAACTTATTTTTCAAATGTGTAATATTACAACAATAATTTCTGTAAAAAGTCATTTTCACTTTCTTATTCAGATATTTTCTTAAGTGTTCTTCTGTTATAGCAATTGTTTATATGCTGTATATTTTATGATTTGTTATTAAATTATAGAGTTTTGTATAGCTTTGTAGGTAGTTTTTAGGTGAGATGAACTCCAAAGGTGACACCTATACATTTGGGTTTATTTATAGGGATTTCATTACCAACTCTCAAAGATCTTGAAATGCTCAAGACTTTACTTTCTTCTTTAATTGTTCATCTTCTCTACTCTGTCCCCTCTCTGTAAAGCCCATATCCCAAGCTTTTCAAAAATATTTTGGGTAAAATACATTTTTAATCTCTGAAGTATATGTATAGTGTCTATTTTGGTCTCTAATTTTTTAATTGTATCTATTTAATTTCTAATGTTCTTAATTTGTACCTACGTGGTCCAATTTCAAATTTCTGTAAAAAAATCGTTAACGCCTCTGCTCACACGCCAATCACATGAGATTAAGTAAACATAAATTAAAAATTTTAGGGACCAAACAGACACAAAATTATGAATTACGTGATTGCCGTGTGACCTAAACCATCACGATTTTTTAACGGAAGTTTGAGATTGGACCACTTAGATACAAATTAGGAACCAAATAGACACAATTGAAAGTTGGAGACCAAATAGACACTAAACACATATTTTAGGGATTAAAAGTATATTTTACCCAAATATTTTCTTTAAGAAACAGGAACCCCTCTCTCTCTCTGGGGGTAACAGTAACAACAACACTTTATTTTCTATTCTTGTCTTCTTATTTTGTTTCTTTTCCTTCTACGATGCTTCCTCTAAGCTGTCTCAAGTGTTCCTGCAAGTGGGTCTTTTTATATTCCTCATTGAATACTTCATTTTAGTCTTTTTTTTTTTATGACTTCCCTTTAAACAATAACTTGTTGACACATTTCAACCCCTTTATACAAGTTAAAAATTTACCCATTGCACATAGTTTCATTTTCCATATCTAACATTGCGCCACAAAAATCTTCACACAATCCAGACTCTAACAAAAACAGGGTTCAGCCACTTTCAGCTTCAACATTGATGAACAACAATGGGAACAGACCACCTGAAAAGTTCTAAGGTATGTGTTTTTCATATTCATGTGCGGGTGTGTGTGTGCGCGCGTGCGAGTCTGACAAACCCGCGATCTTGAGGTTTAACGGCAGACATTGATCATTACGCCAATTGCTAACCTGAGTCGAAGAATAGAAGAGTGAAAACAGATGTATGATTATTTATTTTTTGGCAGTCTTCATGGCCAAAAGTGCTTGTCAGAAAATGGTTGAATATCAGGAGTAGTTCAGATGAATTTCATTCGGATTACAGAACAAATGGTAAGATATTTCTACATTTGATGCAATTAAATAAACAAATATTCCAAAAAAAAAATCCTAAATTTAATTAATTATTAATTTGTGTTATCATGCTGTTTAGAATTATCTGATTTAGCTGCTCTGTTTTGAATCATCATCTATTTCTGTGTTTTGTGAAAAATGAGCAATGGGGAATGGAGCAGAAAGAAGGAATAGTTGCTCAGACGAGGACAGCTACGTACTTCCACCGGAAGATTTTTCAGGTAATATTGGGTAGTGATGTACTGTATTTTACCCCATGGCGTTTAATCGAGTCCAACTATTCGAATTCAGCTCAGATTTAATTTAAATATTTTTTTAAATTCGTTTGAAAAATGAGTTACTCGAGTTTGATTTGGATTGAGTTTGGAAAATAAGCCAGCCAGACTCGACTTGAACTCGACAGACTCAACTCGTTTATGTGCAAATACTCGGGTTCGACTTGTTTTGAGCTTGTTCAGGTTCGATTCATTTCTAAAGGAACCGAACTTAAATAATTTTTTAAATTCGTTTAAAAAAAACAAGTTTTTTAGTTTCGGTTCTAACCTTTAAATTTTTTTGATATAGTATTGTCCTAACCTTTAAAATTTTAATAAAGTCAATGAACCCATTAATATAAAGTCTACATTGAGGTAGTGTGCAAAAGTGATAAGCATAGCATTATTGATAAAATATTGAATCTCATTCCCATGTAGTTACAGCATGTGCATTGGAGTAATCCGATAGATCGCCTATTGAAAATTATAATTTTTAAAAATTAAATTATAATTTTTTGAATTATATTTTACAACTATAAAAGACATTATTAATTCTAAAATATTATAACCGATCACAGAAATTATAATTTTTATAGATCAAAGTTTCAATTGATTTGAATAATTAATGATCGATTATGAAATATCTCTGAACAGTTATAATTTTACAGTTAAAATGTATGATTTTATCGGTGAAAAGTAATAAAGTTTGATATGATATTAATTTTTTTTTATACTGTAAAATGACCCTATTATATGATTGGACATCAAAAGAAAATGTAAGGTCCTGTGACATGGCTGAATGGAATCCAGTTTAGTTGGGGCCTATCCAATGAGTAGTTGCATGTGTCGTGACATGAACGTTGTTTATGTTTACGAGTGTTCGGATTAATTTATGTGTACTTTGATTAATATTTTTTTCGGTTTGATTAAAAGTAAGTCATCCATGTCAAGAATATGGTATTAATGAAAAATAAATTCTTCATGATCTAGTTCCAAAAAATTATCAAAATTCAAACTTAAGACATCTGAATTTACGATTCGTCAATATTACCAACTATCCACGGAGTTTGAAGATACTTAAGCCCTACCTTATTGATTATGATGATTAACTTTTAGTTAGTTTGAGCTTATTTTAATCTATGTTTGATGAGTTACACCACAAGGGTGGTTGAAGGAAGAAAGTGATAGAATTGAACGGCAGAGATTTGAGACAGAGGCACCTGCTACCACTGATACTCTCAACCTCAGGTAAGGCAACAACATCTCTCCATATTCAAGAAAAAAAAAATTGGGTCTTTTACAGCAAATCAATTAATGAATAATCTATGATAAAAAAAATAAAAATTAAGGAATAATCACATATTCTTATTATTTTGATCTTTGAAATACACGTCATTTTGGTTTTTCTTTATAGTACATCATCCGTCACTAATTTTAATCGCATCCACTATATGTAAAATGGATTCTTACTAAGAAAGTATATTGGATATTATCTAGCTCCGAATTTCTAATTACTCATCGTCCAATAGGGCCACATATAAGCTGCCCAAATCATTGGTCAACTTTTCTCTTCCTTTAGGTTGGTAAACAATGTGAGGGTGTTTTGGAGTTGTAGTTGTTCGAATAGAAAGTACTTCGAAGACAGATCTTTAGTGAGAGAACTTCGATTCGATTCGAAGAGGCATAGGAGAGTTTTGAGAGAGATAGAGACGAATTGTGAGACTGATAGAAAAAATAAGGGGCTAAAACGCAAAAAGGGGATAAAATGGCTCTAAAGAAACTCGAAGGCTGAACTTCATAAAAAGAGGCGCGTATTTTCATTTTTTTTGTTTTTTAAAAGATGATTTATTTATTTATTTGTTTTCAGAAACTGGTCTTGTTTTCAAAATAACTTGGCTGAAAAAAAAAATGAAAACACGAATCAAAGGCATTTTTGTTTTTTATTTTTACAAAAATTAAAAAAAAAAAAAACAAAATAACCATTAGTTACCAAATGCATCCTAAGTTATTGGAAGGTTGTTTTTGTTGGTTTAAGGGTTTTTTTTTGAATTCTTAATGTTGAATTATAAGTGCCTTAATTCCTTGTACTTGGCTAAGTTTCCCTAATAATTCTATGTTTAATGATTTATTTTTCTAAAACTAACCAACTTTTGTTTTGTTTTGTTATGTTGTGCTTTTTTGGTTGGTATTGTAAACCGCCCCTCATTGACTTTTGTTTTGTTTTGTTGTGGTTGGGGTATGGAATGATGGTGGTTGATTGGGAGATGGTGGGGATTTTTATAGATTGTTCGTAGGGACATGGAATGTAGGAGGGAAGTCGCCACACTGGGGATTGAACTTGACAGATTGGCTAGGGACACCTTCACCAGCTGACATCTATGTTCTTGGGTAACCTATCTCCCTCCTAACCTCATATTTTCCCCTTTTATATGTGCACCTCTCTCTCTCTCTCTCTCTATATATATATATGTGTGTGTGTGTGTGTACATGTGAGAGAGAGAGAGAGAATAAATCAGTCCGATTTATTCCTTTGAAAAAGCAATATTACTAAAATTATTTTCCGATCATATTAATAGTTACGATTCAATTAGGGTCAATCACAATTGATAAGTTATTGAATTATATTGTGACTCAATCGACTTTAGCATAATCGTAATTGATCTTGGTTAGATTTTAGCAAGCAATAAGAAACCAAACTTTTTTTAAAATTGTAGTTAAATTATAAATAATATGATTTTCACTTCAACAACTTCGTTTAGCTAATATAGGATAAAGAAATTTTTTGATTTAGTATTCAATTTTGTTTTGTTTTGTTTTGTCTTAGTACTGTTTGGGTCCTCGTTAAGTTGGAGAAATTCGTATTTAATTTTGTAAACATCTACATAGAGTGGGTTTTAGTAGTCGTTTGGTTACAAAATTAAAAGGTGGATGACAGAATCATAACATATTAAAACTCTTTAATTCAACCTTATATTGCATTTGGTTGTAAGAAACGCTCCATATTATATATAGTTTTATTTCAAATAATATACTCTATTTATACTATTGAGCCTATTAAGTCCAGTTCAAGTGTATTAAGTTAAAAATTTACCATTTTACCCACAACATAAATAAAAATATTAATAACTAGACAAAATTGATAGTTTTTTTTGTCAATATGTAATTAGAACTCTATTATCCTACTCTTAATTCAATGTCTTATCAAACATTGAATCACAATGTGTAATATTTTTGGCCCATATTTAATCTTTTATTTTATTTGCTTATACGAAATTAATCTGTATTACGAAATACAATCTATTATTTTACAATACAATGCAAGACATATGGCTCATTATTTGTTGGAGATAAAAGTGAGTTCTAGTTGTAAATTTTATTTTCATAGGTCATGTGCATGGTCCAAGCATGAGTATCGGACTAAAGCTAGATCATAAATAAGTTATAATTAATTAATACTCGATACAAACTTAAAATGACATGACTCAATTACGGGATTTATGTACTGTATCTATTACTCCTTTGGTAGGTAAGACCCTAATCGATAGAAAATACAGAGCCTATAAGGGTAATTTGATACTTAGAGCAACTTCAACCCACTCAGTAAAATGTCAATCTTAGCTATTTTGAAGAGTCAATCCCAAAAAATTCTCTCCAACCCACTCTCTATCCCACTAGCTATTTCTGGCGAGACTCTTTCGCTCGCTATTTGCTCTTTTGCGCCAAAGTGGTTGTGGCTTCATCGTCTTCATCGTAGATGTCACATCTCATCCCATTCTGAGAGATCCTATTGATTTTCCAAAGATGAAAATATAACTCAACACGTGATAATACCTGTGTCTGTAATGTAATAACGTATTTAAAATCAATAATGTCACCAAATAACGTCATAAACAGATAAAATATATAACAGAGTACACAACATCGTCTCTTGTACCAAAACAAAAGATTAGGGATTACATCCCTTTATAACAATAGGGAAAAACAAAGTCTCATGTATAATATGTACATAGCCACTTTCCTTAATTTTTCCCCATCTCTACCATGCATTAGTGGCCCTCACTCTAGATCTCGGTATACTGAAACCAATAATTTTCTTGAGTGTACTAAACATCATAATTAAAGAAAATATAACAAAAATATAGATCAAATATTGTTCTACAAAAAAAATACTCACAATCCGCAAAACTCAATCAAAATGAACTCAACTCACCTTGAGCTCAAATCAATTTCATATATCAAAATTATGAATATCCATATGAGCAACGAGTCAAACAACAACATTTAAGCAATGACAAACTATTTATAATATTTAAACAATGTCCAGCTATCTCATAACAATTGCGCAATGTAAAAATCAACAACATGTAAGCCATGTTAAACTATTAACAACTTGGCACAGTGGATAATACTCGAATCACAAACTTTTCATAAAGCATATTTGATCCATAATTTAAGCAACTCAACCCAAATCAATTCAACAAAATTAAATTTTCACATACAAGAAAAAAACTTGATATTATATACTTTAATTTTTACTTATTGTGAAACAATATACTTCACCTTTATCGCTGACAGATATCCCTCCTTGATTTACTATCGATCTCTAGGTGTAATAGAGATAATAGCCTCCAATCCTAACAATCAGGATATGTGCCAATACGAGTGAGTATCGACTCTTGAAATAACTCTATTGGTGTACATGGATTCAAATGAATATGCTTCATGGTATTTCTTATTCATTATAACTTAATCTTCCCAAAGAACTTTAGAGTATTTTACGAATTATCTCATTTCCCCTAATCATCGTCTTATATACATCAAGAATCATTTAAAGTATAAACTAAGATTAAGTACATTTGGGTGTAGAGGAATAAAAAGAACTTAACACCATCAATAAAATAGCTAGTGAAATGCTTGTTTCCGAATGATTACTCAACGGGTAGAATGGTGTCAACCAATGGGTGTTGTCGTCCTAACCAATGACTAAACAAATTCATAGATGGGTAAATAGTTTGTGCTAATTTTACTTACTTCTTACTCTTTTATTTTATATCCCAATCCACACAATTTAGATAGAGCCGCTTTGGTCTAGTTTCCACTCAATCCACACAATTTAGATAGATTAGTTGTTCAATCACTTTGATGCAAATAATTAACCCTAACAACCTAACTTCAACTCATGGATTTTCTTCATACAAAATATCAACAACTAATCTCTTTACTTACCTCTCAAGAGATACGAGATAACCTAATAAAACTCCTCTGCAAGTCTCCTTTAATCTCCCTATTCAACCTAAGAGAAACCAAAGTAGCAAGCAAACTAACTTTGATACAAATGAGGACCTCTATGAAGACTAGCCGATGAACACACCAACAGAGAGAGAAAGACAAAAGTCTTCCAAGGGCTAGAAAGCTTAAGAACTCACAAGAGGTTTCCAAGTCTTTAGAGCATATCAAGTTTAGTATTTACTTAACTATCTTTGTCTTTTTTTTTCTATTCTTTTTTACCCCATAAAAGTTTAATTTTAAATTTTATTTTTACACCTCCCCAAGTATCTATTTTTTTTTCCTTTTACCCATGAAAATTATATTTCCACCCTTATTATTTATTAATTAAATGCAATACAATGCATGTCGGGTCTGACAATAGAGATGGTCTTCATCGTCTTCACGTTGGTATGGATCTCCCTCTCTCTCTGAGCCGATAGAAACCCAAGCGCCCAAATCTGCAAAACCCCTTCAACGCTTTTGATTTTTGTCGGCTTCAACCAGGCAACGCTTCCACTTGTCTAAACCTTTCTTTCTCGCTTGCTCTCTATCGGTTGATCTTGATCTGAATACAACTTGTTCAATGTCTCTGTTCAGTGTCTTTCTCTCTCCGAAAAGGCCTCGTCTTGATAATTACTAAAAAGGATTACTAATCCTTAACTTCTCGATGAATCATTTATCAATGATTGTGAATGACTAATTTTTTCAATCTTTTCGATCTTTTACGCTCGTAATCTCTAAAGAATGAGAACCAACTATGTAGTATCTAACCATGATCGAATGTCTATGATATTCTTCAGTTATTTAAGTCTTAATGGTACAAAATTTAATCTGTTTTGCATTTAATCTTGAAATGTATCAGTGATAGCTTAAAATTAATGTTTTGCTTAATTGGTGTTTATAAGTTTGACCGTAAATAATTTATTTTAATATTTAAATATATTTTGAATTGGTAAAATAGATTGTAACTTTGCTCTTACCGTCTTAACCTTTTAAACTTTTGGTACTCAGGTTTCAGGAGATCGTACCCCTTAACGCCGGCAACGTACTCGGCGCAGAGGACAACGGCCCAGCGGCCAAGTGGCTTACCCTCATCCAGCGAGCTTTAAACATCAACACAAATGACCCCCAATTTCCTCATTATCTCACTAACGCCACTAACTCTGAGCTGGAACAGTCACCTCCGGCATCATCAACCCAGAATGACTGCTCAGAAGAAGTCGAACTTAACCAGGAATCTTCTTTTGAACCATCTTTAAGTTCGAATTCGAATTCAAACTCTAGTGAAGAAGGATCACCCAGTGCACCCTGCAGGTCAATGAAGCTCGCTAGTCCAAAGCAACAGCATCAATTTTGCTTGGCAGCGAGCAAGCAAATGGTGGGCATCTTTCTATCAGTATGGGTTCGCTCGGATTTCAATCGGTATATTAGCAATTTGAAGGTCTCACGTGTGGGACGAGGACTTATGGGATTCCTTGGAAATAAAGTATAATCTCGATTTCAATGGTTTTGATTTTATACGATCGATTTACGGGTATATTGGTAGTTAATGGGTTGCATATATGGTGTTTGTTTTTATGTTTGTGTGGGTGATAGGGGTCAATAGCAATCAGCATGACATTGCACCAGACAACATTTTGCTTTGTTTGCACTCACTTGGCATCCGGAGAGAAAGAGGGTGATGAGGTGAAAAGAAATTCGGATGTTATGGAAATATTGAAGAAAACAAAGTTTTCTCATCCGTGTAGAGTAGCTGGAGAACCAGTTCCCCCTGAGAGCATTTTGGATCATGAGTATGTGCTCCCTTTTTCCCTTCAATTTTCTTACTTTTGTATAAATTAGGATGTCTAATTGTCTATGCTAACGTATTGTTAATTTTGAATGCGCCTTTTTTTGTAAAAATGCCTCACAAATTTTGATGGCTTGATTGATTTATCATTTCTAGACAATATTTAAAAGTTGAATAAGAAGTCATTCATCCTTGGAGTTTCTGCAATCGACATCCTCGTCTTAATATCTACTAGAGGACATAAAATTACACTCATATTCTAAATCGTTTACTTTTAACTCTACTATTAGCAATGTTATTTGGCTTGGAGATTTGAACTATCGGCTTGCTTCTAATTATTGGGACACACACGAGCTACTACAGAAGAACGACTGGCAAGCTCTTCTTGAGAAAGATCAGGTGGAGTACTCATGTGACTTAGTTTTGTGGCTTTCGTTTCTACATGTATTGATCTCCAACAATTCACATTTTCATCTTCCTCAATGTATTTGAAGGTAAATAAGACTAATAAGAACAAGAATTACAAATTGGTTTTTGGTTTTGTTTTTATTTGGCAGTTAAGGATTGAGCAAAAAGCTGGCCATGTATTTAAGGGTTGGGAAGAAGGTGGGATATATTTTGCTCCAACATACAAATACGTCGCAAATTCCGACCATTACGTCATCCAGACCTCTTCACCTAAACAGAAGCAACGTACTCCTGCATGGTAAATTTCTACATTTCTTTCCATTAAGATCCAAATTCAAAAAGCAGGAACAGTTGGTTAATTACCATGTTTGCTTACTTTTTAAGGATATTCTAGTTTATTCATACTAATGAAAGTTTGCGTACATATAGGCTATTCCACAGGTAAATCTAAACTATTCCTATGCAATCCTCTATTTTTTCTTCAAAAACATAGTTACTAGTCAGCTTTTGATAATACTTTTATCTTCTCCTCAGATTGATAAGTTTTTGGGACACAAATGGAAGATATATTTTGAACACTCTTGAGTATAAGTTGATTTGTGGCTGCAGCCACCAGTGCACTTGAAACAGGCAGAAGTATTTTCATTATGTTGTGATTCACATTTTTCAAAACAAAACTGATCACCCAGAGCTATTACCATAAATTCAATCAATAACCATGTGCGAAGACTATCACGTATGACTGCAGTTTAATAAATCATTCGGGAGCAAGAAAATCGTTGTCATATTATAAAGCACAAACCATTTAAAGCCATGGACAAGGCTCAAGATAAATTTTCAACAAAAAAAACATTACTTCATCAGAAATCAGAGGGGCTGTTAACTTATAAGTTATATAACACTTCAGTCGGGAGTACTCAAATTTTTTTTCTTTTGGTCGGAGGGAGTACTCAATTCTCAATTAACTAAAAGAATTTTGTTCACAAACTTTCTCACTCTGTCTACTGAATTATTTACTCTCTGTAGCAAGAAATGTAACTCATGAGCACAGCAAGTGCTTTGTAATATGATCACCCTGCTAAGAGATGCAGTAATTTTCATATGACCATCAAAGTAACCCGTATGCTGTTGTGTCCTCTTTCTAATTCTTAATTTCAGTGCCACTAATTTATCAGAATTTGTTCTGCAAATAATCATTTATTTACAGTGTACTTCTGATTTCTTGCATCACCACTAATATTTGAACCATTTCACTGCGAATCAATTGTACATAATTATATCTGTGAAGGGCTAACCTATGTGGTTCGATACAATGACAGGTGTGACAGAATATTGTGGAAAGGCGAAGGACTCAAGCAGATGTGGTATGTTCGGGGTGAATCAAAGTTTTCAGACCACAAACCAGTCTGTTCGCTGTTCTCAGTGCAAGTGAATGTAGCTAACAAGAACAATCCCAAACCCGTTTGCTCTAACACCCCTGTATCTTCAACAATAGCAGCATCACTACCACCATCACGACAGCCTATTGTTTTGTCAGGTGTGGTCAAAGTTCAGGCAGAAGAGCTGCTGTTGCATACGATGGCACAAAGTTGCATACAAAGTACACCTATGTTCTCATCCACAGCCCAAAAAGTAACCTCCCCAATAGGAGTATAACTGCTGCAATTGCCCCAAAGAAAGAAGCGTCCCATGTGACACTTCCTCAGTGTCTCAGGAAGTTTTAACAGTTTGCAACAAGGTGCAATGTGGGTTTTGATGTTCATCATGGACCCAACCCAAGTCCTTGCCTTCTTGTTCATCAACTGTTTTACTAACAAAAATCGCTGTGGTGTGCATGGTGGCAACATGATGAAAGGTTCATGTGTGTTGATCTCAAGGGGGTAAAAGAGGGGGGGGAGGGGGTAGTGTTTACATGTATATAGTTGCACAGTGGAGTATGATGGCGAGGATGATCGTGGTTGTGAGACAAGGGTTTGTGTGCCTCTAATGGACGGAGAAGTGGGCTGTTTATCTGAGTTTCTCAAGTCATGCGTGTTGAGACATTTAATGATGAGCTTCTGCAGAAGATTGTTTTCTTGTTTTACCAGGGTGGGAGAGAACATTAGGTGAATGATTAAAGAAAAAGAGGAGACTCAGAAGGTGAGTGACATTGTAAAGAAAGGGTCCAGAGAGGTTGGGAGATAACAGGTAGAGTACTGATAGGGGTTCTTTTTAAAGTCCAGAGAGGTTGACATTTGGTCAACATTGTTCATTGTCAAATATTTAGCCTTTTGTCAATTTTGCTGGCTCATATATTTTGTCTTTGAGAAGAGAAATCTTTACTCCTTTAGTTCACTTTGGGCAACATTTTCTTTTATTTCTTTCTCTTTGACTGAGTTTGAGTTTGTTTAAAGCTCTGAGTGAACCCGAAATAGGCCATGGACTTGGATTTCGGGTCAGTTCCTTGGCCGAGAAGAGATTTACCCCAACGCAATCCACATAAATTCCACAAGCCCGATACCTTTTTTTTTTTTTTAAATACAGGAGACACCTACGTTTTTAAACCCATAACTCCTGCATCAAGATCTCATTCGAACTAGTGGCTCACTAGAGGAAAAATTTGGCTCCTCATTCTAGTTGTAAGTAGTTTCGAAACAATGAAAAGCACTTGGCGTGGAACCATAAAAATGTGCACCCTGATCATTGCATTGTTGTCGTGTCTACATTGTGAGGGCTCTTAACTAAATGCATAATTCAATGAGTTGATAAGAGAGTGAAAGACAAGCAAGAGAAAACAACAAAAATTAGCAAAGTATAACTGATGATAAGGAGAAAAAAAAAGTCATCCACTCGAAGCGAACAATTTAATAGCTTCACCTTTTTTTTTTTTGTTTATTCCAATGTTTTTCTAGTCAGTTTTTTTCTTATTGGCATTTTTGGTCCTTGACTTTTGTAAATGATCTCTGCACTTCACTAGAGCAGAGTCATCCTACACATAAAAACCATGGATCAATAGATTAAATGAATTCGGGAAAACCATTTAAAATTTAACCGAGAAAAATAAAAGAATAAAAGGTTATTTCGATTGAAAGAGTGACTAATTAAGTGGTCTATTTAATCATACGATCATCCTCCTTTTGTAACTTAGAGCAACTCTAACCCTGCTCAGTAAAAAGTTATTCAAAATATATTTAAATATTAAATTCTTTACTTTAGATAGTCACTTTTTTAAAATTCACTCCAACCACACTCTCTATTTTATTAAAATTCACTCCAATCACACTTTTTATTTTAACTAACTACTTCAATAAACTTTAATAATATAATTAAAAAATGTCACGTGGCGTAACACGTA